ATTATTAGTGAAATAAAACTACCTTAAATGTCCTGGATAGCTAAGAAAAAAGTTTATTAAAACAATTTATATTTAAAACTAACAATGTATTTAAAAAAGGAAGTGTTATCGATAAGGCCATTGTGGAGAAACAAAATGAATTCTTTGCATCGGTCTTCGCGGCTGAGGATGTGAGGGAGATTCCCAAACCTGAGCCATCCTTTTGAGGTGACAGATCTGAGGAACTGTCCCAGATTGAAGTATCATTAGAGGAGGTTTTGGAACAAATTGATAAATTAAACAGCAATAAGTCACCAGGACTAGATGTTATTCACCCAAGAGCTCTGAAGGAACTCAAATGTGAAATTGCAGAACTACTAACTATAGTCTGTCACCTATCATTTAAATCAGTTTCTGTACCAGATGACTGGAGGATAGCTAATTTTGCGCCAATTTTTAAAAAGTGCTTCAGAGGTGATCCCGGCAATTGCAGACCTGTAAGCCTGACTTCAGTACCGGGCAAACTGGTTGAAACTATAATAAAGAACAATATTGTCAGACATATAGATGAACATAATTTGTTGAGGAAGAGTCAACATGGTTTTAGTAAAGGAAAATCATGCCTCACCAATCTATTAGAATTGTTTGAGGGGGTCAACAAGCATGTGAACCAAGGGGATCCAGTGGATATAGTGTACTTAGATTTTCAGAAAGCCTTTGTTAAGGTCCCTCACCAAAGGCTCTTACACAAAGTAAGCTGCCACGGGATAAGAGGGAAGGTGCTTTCATGGATTGGTAACTGGTTAAAAGATAGGAAACAAAAGGTAGGAATAAATGGTCAGTTTTCAGAATGGAGAGACATAAAAAGTGGTGTCTCCCACGGGTCTGTTCTGGGACCAGTCCTATTCAACATATTCATAAATGATCTGGAAAAAGGGGTAAACAGAAAGGTGGCAAAATTTGCAGATAATACAAAATTACTAAAGATAGTTAAGACCCAGGCAGACTGCGAAGAGCTACAAAAGGATCTCTTAAAACTGGGTGACTGGGCAACAAAATGGCAGATGAAATTTAATGTTGATAAATGCAAAGTAATGCACATTAGAAATCATAATCCCAACTATACATATAAAATAATGGGGTATAAATTAACTGTTACGACTCAAGAAAGAGATCTTGGAGTTACTGTGGATAGTTCTCTGAGAACATCCACTCAATGTGCAGCGGCAGTCCAAAAAGCAAACAGAATGCTGGGAATAATTAAGAAAAGGATAGATAATAGGACAGAAAATATCATGTTGCCACTATATAAATCCATGGTACGCCCACATCTTGAATATTGTGTGCAGATGTGGTCGCCCCATCTCAAAAAAGATATATTGGAATTGGAAAAGATTCAGAAAAGGGCAACAAAAATGATTAGGGGTATGGAACGGCTTCCATATGAGGAGAAATTAATAAGACTGGGACTTTTCAGCTTGAAAAAGAGACGGCTAAGGGGAGATATGATTGAGGTCTATAAAATCGTGACTGGTGTAGAGAAAGTAGATAAATAAGTATTGTTTACTACTTCTCACAACACAAGAACTAGGGGTCACCAAATGAAATTAATAGGCAGCAGGTTTAAAACAAACAAAAGGAAGTATTTCTTCACCCAACACACAGTCAACCTGTGGAACTCCTTTCCAGAGGATGTTGTGAAGGCCAAGACCATAACAGGGTTCAAAAAAGAACTAGATAAATTCATGGAGGATAGGTCCATCAATGGCTATTAGTCAGGATAGACAGGAATGGTGTCCCTAGGCTCTGTTTGCCAGAAGCTGGGAACGAGCGACAGGGGATGGATCACTTGATGATTGCCTGTTCTGTTCATTCCCTCTGGGGCACTGGCACTGGCCACTGTCGGAATACAGGATACTGGGCTAGATGGACCCTTGGTCTGACCCAGTAGGGCCATTCTTATGTTCTTGTGTTCTTATCTGTAGTCAGTGAATTGAACTGATTGTTTCTGGTCACCATGTCCTTCCAAAATTTTAGAACTACTAGATTTCATCCTCTCACACTTACTTTTTGTTCAGAGATTGGAAAAGGAAAACAAGCTGTCTTGCCTTTATAACCCCCAATCAATTTCTTAAGTTAGAATGAACTAGTCAGTGAACTGAACTAGCTGAATGAACTGACATGAAGAAAATATTCTCTGTGCACCTGCAGAAGAGACTACTGCTGTGAAAAGCTGGTTTAGCACTTCAACAAAGTCTAGTTCCAGCTGCTGAGCCAGTGAAATCCACCAATTTAGTGGTCTATCTTTAAAACTTCAGCAACAAATATGCATTACTTAATAGTAATCTTTTATTTAATTTAACTGATTTTAATAGATTTTAGTAAATTTAGACTTGCACATATGTTGTGATAATTTAAACTTGATTTTTAAATGATTATTTTTAAAAAGAAAAACATATTTACATTTTTTAAAATCATACTTTTTTAATTAAAAAAATCATCAGTTTCCAGCTACCGTGGAAGCCAGAGATGAATAGGTTTCCTTCAATTGTCTGTGGATTGTCCAATTGTACAGTGTCAGAGGAGGGGAATGGTTTCTAGGAAGCCCAGGAGCTAGATCCACAAAGGGACCTAGGCAGTGCTTAATCACCCTCCCCCAACCAGAGAATTCACAGCCTCACCAGTCTCCCATACAACACATGGGGAGAGTTACAAGTGTCGGTGTGTGACCATCTGACCCTTCTGTACTTGCAGCAAACCACAACCGCTTCAACCCATCAGACTCCTCCACCTACCAGGCCACCAGTGAGAACGTCTCCATCCAGTATGGCACCGGCAGCATGACCGGAATCCTGGGCTATGACACTGTCCAGGTAAATCACAAGAAAGGATCAAAGCCCCTGGAGCAGAGAAGGGAAATGATTAGGAGTTAGAAGGACAGGATGCATCTGCAAAGCTAAAGCAGGAACTCCATTGGCTGTGAACTGGGAGACAGGAATAGAGAAAGGGAAGAGAAGAGACAATGAAGCCAATCGTGGACTATTCTCATATAGGGGAGAGAGCACAGTTCAGGGCATGGTAACCGCTGAGAACTGGCACGCTGTAAAGACCCTCTGGTAGACTTGGCAGCTTCTCCCAGGGTGTAGGGTGTGTCTGATTGTCCCCATCCCTCCTCTAAGGTTGGCGGCATTGTGGACACCAATCAGATCTTTGGCCTGAGTGAGACCGAGCCTGGCTCCTTCCTCTACTACTCCCCCTTTGATGGGATCCTGGGTCTGGCCTTCCCCAGTATCGCCTCTTCTGGAGCCACCCCCGTCTTTGACAACATGATGAATGAGGGTTTGGTGTCCCAGGACCTCTTCTCTGTCTACCTGAGCTCGTAAGTCAGGGCTGGAAACAACCCATCTGCTGCAGTGAGATTCAGCACCTCTCACATTGAGTGAGCCCTGCGATATTTGCATCAGAATTCCCAAAACACAGAGATCTCTGGGGTGCAACATGGCAGCCATTCTATGCTGGTGATGTACATTCTGGGAGCAGAAGTGAACATTGGCATCTTTAATGATTACATTAAAGCATCGGGGACCTGCCTACACCCATTGCAGATCATCAGTATTAGACTGACTCCTAGGGGAGAAAATGCCCCATGTCACCCACATGACTCAGCACCTTCCAGCACCAGACTGCACCATCTGCTCAGTACTGACTCAGAGGGAAGAGCAGCATCTACTGAGTCCCTGACACCACTGCCTCAAACATCTGGGCCTTTCCTTGGAGGTCTCCCTTCCAGTTTTAGGGCAGGCCCAGCCCTGTTTAGCTTTTGAGACCTGGCAAGAGACAATTATCAAAGTAGGGTCAGAGGTGCCCCTCTCATTCAACCGGCCTGCCCTTTCTCCGCTACTAGACACTGATGTGCCCAACTCTGATTGTATCCCAGCACTGCCCACCTGTGGCCCATTCTCTAACAGGGAAGGGTTCAAAAAGGAACTAGATAAGTTCATGGAGGATAGGTCCAACAATGGCTAATAGCCATTGATGGGCAGGGATGCTGTTCCTAGCCTCTGTTTGCCAGAAGCTGGGAATGGGCGACAGGGGACGGATCACTTGTTGATTCAGTTCTGTTCATTCCCTCTGGGGCACCTGACATTGGCCACTGTCGGAAGACAGGATACTGGGCTAGATGGACCTTTGGTGTGACCCATTCTGGCTGTTCTTATGTTCAGACAGAGCGTTTCCTATTGACTCATCAGCCAACCATTCATGCATCTGCCTTGACTCTCCTCTCTCCCTTCTCTAGGGACGACCAGAGCGGGAGCTTCGTGATGTTCGGTGGAATCGACTCATCTTACTACTCTGGGAACCTCAACTGGATCCCTCTCTCTGCTGAGACTTACTGGCAAATCACCATGGACAGGTATCTCCCACCACTTGGCCCTTCCCCTTCATCAGGCCACCTTGAGGAGACGGGCAAAAGGAGAAGCATGCGGGAGCCTGGAGAAGCTCAAATTTCAGAGTCTAGACAAGATGAGAGACCCGGGAGTCAGAATCACACCTTCCTTGGAGCGATAGGAAAGGGACTCACCAGCAAGGAGATTAGAGCAGTGTTCTCCACCTCGTCCACACCAGGAACCCTCATCTGGCCAGCTCTGCTTAGCAATAAACTAAAGGGCTTGGTGGTCACGACTCCTTGACATCGGCTTGTGACCCCCAGGCTGGATCGGTCACAGTCCCAGAAGGTTGTAGGACGAGGAGCGACGGGCAATAGCCAAGGAAGGTTGAGGCTGAAACATCAGGGGAAAGTTCTTGGCAGTCGTAGCAAGGGGGCGGTGGGTCAGCTCCACCCTGCAGGCCTCTCACTGCTGGCTTGTGGGCTGAGTGGGAATGAGATTGGGAGTGTTTCTAGGGACGTCCCCCCTGACTCTCTCTCTTCCAGCATTACTATGAACGGAGAGACCATCGCTTGCTCTGGTGGCTGCCAGGCTATCATTGACACTGGCACTTCTCTGCTGGCTGGGCCTTCTACTGGCATCTCCAACATCGAGTCCTACATTGGCGCCAGCGATGGCACGGTAAGGGCAGGGAGAAGGGACAGATACTTCTAGAGGTGTCTGCTACGGAGAGCCTCATAGCCAAGAAGCATCTAACCTTTCCTCCATATGTTGCCTTCCTCCCTGCAGATCAGCTGCAGTGCCATGAGCAGCCTGCCCAACATCGTCTTCAACATCAACGGCATCGAGTTCCCTGTGCCCGCCAGTGCCTACATCACTGATGTGAGTGTCCTGCTCAGAAAGCCGACTTGGAGCCTCTTAGCGAGGGCTTGTGCCTGAGGCCATTGTACTTTGCATGCTGGCAACATTCCCCTGCACAGCTGGTATACGGCTGCAGGTGTATCACTGAGATGCAGCTCAGGGTCTGTCACCAGTATTAGAGTGGGGCAGCAGAGAGCTCTTCCCACAAACAGATCCAGGGGAAGGAACGGTCTAGATCAAGGCAGGCCCATAGTGAAAGTGACATATCGGAAGAGCAGCAAGGCAGCCTGTAGAGCTGGCCACCGTAGGAGATCACTAGGAAAGATGCCTTACTGGGCTAGGAGAGAATTAAATGAGCAGCTAGGAGGTTAGATCAAGAGAGATTACTGCCTTGTGCTGCAGGGCATGGGCTTCTGGGCATCAGGAAGGAGTTTTCCTTCTCTGTGATAAAGGTTTGCTTCCCTCTGGGGAGGAACAGGCAAGCTGCTTTAACGGCACACAGCAACACCAGCTGGTAGCTGGGGAGAGACAGTGGGGAAGCCCAAATCCACTTATAATCACAGCAGGATTTCTGGTAGCTCCCTTTGGTATCTGGCCAGGAGTTTGGAGAGAGCATGCTTTGCCTCCCCAAGGGATGTGTCATGAACAGAAGTGGTCAGGACCTTGCTTCTCTTCCCAGTTGACAGGCTGCATCCCTTAGCCTCAGGCTGAAGCACTGGGGCTGTACTGAGGCCCAGATCCACAAAGGTAGCTCACTGGGAGTTATGCCCCTAAATACCTGTGAGCATCCAGGCCTCACTCACCAACCCCACTGCTTGCATCCCCAAGCTGTTCCTTAAAGTCTCCAAGCCAAGGCCTGACCCAGCCTAATGCGCCTTAGTTTGGGAGCAGTGGTGAGATCCCATCCCAAGATGGTGCAGGTGCAGGCATGTGCACTCCCTGCTGGACAGTAACTCAAGGGGACATTGAAGTTTCAGCCCAATAACCCATATCCCATTCTCCTCCGGTGCAGAACTCAGGCTCTTGCTCTCCCGGCTTTGAAGACATCGACGTCCCCACCTCCTCTGGAGAGCTCTGGATCCTCGGAGACATCTTCATCCGCCAGTACTACGTTGTCTTCGACAGGTCCAACAACCAGGTGGGCCTGGCCCCCATGGCATGAACACAGCGCCGTCCCCGGGACACTGTCATGGAACACTGACCCGGACAGTCTACGTTTCTCTAGAGCCCCAACACTGCGAATCAATCTAGTGACCCTTACTCCTGCTGAGACTTTAATGGACACAAGCTATTCCTCACCCCAAACTCACCCTCTCGTCTCTAATCTTACCAACAGTAAAATAAAGGACTATAAGAGCATTGGAGTGAATTGTTTCTCTCTGATGGGCGGAGTGACCCACATTCCACTGAAGAGGAGGGGGGTAGGGAATATTATCATATCTTCTGCTGAGGCCGCCAATCCCGACCTGCAGCTTCCTGATATGCCAGCCCTGAGCTCCCTCCACACTCAGTTCTGCCAATTCCCCTTCAACCTGACCCACAGCCTCTTGCTTTTCCAGCCCTGGCTCCCCACACACAGCTCTGCTGATGCCCCCTTACCCTGACCTGCAGCCCCCCACTGCAATTTCACTCTTGTCCCACCTCATCCCCTGCTATGCTAATGCCCCTCACTCCTGACCTGTTTGTTTTGTTACTTCCAACAGTATCTCATGATATGGGCTTGGGAGCTGTCCATAAACTACATAACACAGCCATTTGGGGGTAGGGGCTGTGATGGGTTCCCCTCGGGGTGTCACCTGGAACTGGGGTACCACTGAGCCCTTTGACTCACCAGCCTGGGCTCCCTCTCACACTGTGCTGTGACAAGCTGCGACCCACTCCCAGTCCTACACTTCCACCAGCATTCACACAGGCAGGGACACACCCAGCTGCAGTTACATGCAGGCTCTCTGACCCATCACTACATGGAACTGTACAGCATAAGCTCATAGAGTTCACCCATAGAGTTCTCAATGTGGAGAGGAAATGCAACAGCCCTGCCCTTTCAGCTAAGGTTCCCAGGCACTTCATTCCAAACGTACTGGTTTAGATTAAAGCATAAAATAAGTTTATTAATTACAAAAAGACAGATTTTAAGTGATTATAAGTGATAGCAAACACATCAAAGAAGATTACAGAGTAAATAAACAAAAACACAAACTAAGCCTAAAATACTAGAAAGATTGGATATGAATTAGCAAATTCTCACCCTGGCTGATGATACAAGCAGGCTGGCAGATTCTCAAGGTACAAGCTGCACTTGCTTTGCAGCTTTGAATCACCAGGTTTTTCATACACAGGCTAGAAATCCCTTTAGCCTGGGTCCAGCACTTCCCCTAGTTCAGTCTTTATTCCTCAGGTGTTACCAGGAGACCTCTTGTGTGGGGAGTGAAGAACAATCAATGATGTCACTCCCTGCCTTATATAGCTTTAGCATATGGCGAGAACCCTTTGTCCCAAACTCAGTTCCCAGCCCAGTTTGTGCAAAAACACTGGCATCCAAGATGGAGTTCCGTGTCATGTGGCCTGGTCACATGCCCTTGCAGTGTCATAGCAGCCATTGCTTAAAGGCTGGCTAAAACATCCACAGAAAGGTTAAGCTATTCCACAGCCCATGGTCTTTGTTGATGAGCCATTAGCACCATCTGGCTTCTTCATTGTTGTACCTAAAAGGCTGGCTGTGGATGTTTTCCAGAGTAAGCCCATTTGAAATACTGGGGGGGAGGGATAGCTCAGTGGTTTGAGCGTTGGCCTGCTAAACCCAGGGTTGTGAGTTCAATCCTTGAGGGGGCCACTTAGGAATCTGGGGCAAAATCAGTACTTGGTCCTGCTAGTGAAGGCAGGGGGCTGGACTTGATGACCTTCAAGGTCCCTTCCAGTTCTAGGAGATAAGATAAGATATCCCTAGTCAATAGTCATAGCTTCAGATACAAAAAATGATACATGCATACAGATAGGATAATCATATTCAGCAAAG